GCCGCGTATATATATTGTTTATCATGACTCTGGTTATCACCTTGTTGCTTTGTCATCTTGTAGTCTAGTAGTAGTCGTGTGATTGGCTTACCACGACTACTTTATTCTTCCTCAGCCAAACAACAGCACTCATGCGATTGTTTTGCCCCTTAGCTCCAGGTGTTGTGCCAAAAAGTGAACGTCGGGCAGACAGTGATTACCGTCCGCGTGAGCGCGCAGCTGCTTAAAGCTGTAGCGTCCAGATTACTCACGTAGACAGCTAATTCCGTTCAACTGATATAAGATGCGGTAAGCTGAACACAGCTGCAACCGCAACCGCACCGCATTTTCTTGTTAGTAACAGTAACGGAGTTGTAACAATAGAAATAGTAATTAGTTAGATTACTTGTTACTGATAAAAGTAACGCTGTTAATAACGCCATTACTTGTAATCGTTTGTGTCGTTTGTGGTGGATTTTAAGGGTGTACTGCAGCTGTCTTTCTTTTTCCTTCAGACACCAAAAATGCTTCCCGTACAGCAGCCAATAGTATGTTTGAATAGTTAAATGGACTGGCACTCATAAAGCGCTTAGTGCTTTCTACTACGAGTCTCATTCACCCATTCGTACTGCAGTTTTTTTTTCATTCCTAAGTGCTTTTTATCGAATATTCACACAGCACATGACCCACGCTTCAGGCCTCCCCATTCATCCATCCATCCATGGTTGGGACTTTGAAATACCAACACACTAGGGATGGACAATATATTGATATTTCAAGGAAATTAGGAAGGAATATTTCTGATAATATACAAAAAAATCCTATCAGTTCTTAAATACTAAATAAAAAAAATTCCATTCAATTTGTTAATTATTCAGAGGGCATCAAATCGCAACAAGTCACCTCAATGTGGTTTATATTGTAATGTAAAGCCTCTACAAACATACAGAGAAGCAGGCGACCCCCTATCAGCAAGCACTTGGTAACAGTGGGAAGGAAAAACTCCATTGCAACAGGAAGAAAGCTCCAGCAGAACCAGCTGTGACTGGTTGGTTTTTTTTTTTAGCTAATTTCCATCAAAGGCTGAGATGTTGCTCTAACTTGGCAGAGTGCCTGTGCTTATTTCAGTGTTGTGCCACTGATATCATGGTATGACACTGTTATATGATGTATAAAATGTATGTCATTGTATAAAAATGCACCTCACATAAAGTCATAGTAGTAAAAAGTGTTGTAGATTAAGTGTCTGGAGCATTCTCTTTGGCACTGAGTTTCTGGTTCACGGTGATTCCTCATATATGTGCCGACCTCATTGTGTGAAACTGTGGCCATATTTAACAGGGTTGGCACTGACTGTAAATGTGGCAACGTTTGTTTTGCAAAACTTTGATCCAAGATGAGCAAATATTTCGAATAGTGCTCTGAGTCAGAAATATCATCTGCACGTTATTAATAGGAAAGAAACTGAATTTATATCCAGCGTGCAGAGTCTAAGCCATAGCTCCAAAGGCGAGGAAGGTCTTTATCAAACTGCAATGCCAGTGTTAGCATTAAATAATAACAGCCTCCTTCTCTGAGGCTGTATTTCTTTGTTGATGGGAAAGCCAAGCCTGACTTTCATGAGGCGATATCGAACAGTGCTGTTTTTCACACAAAGAACAGTGAGCGAGGGAGAGACAGAGAGAAAGCTGGTGCCCAGCAAAGTGGCCTCTGGGCTTCTATGCAGCAACGAAACCCCAGAGATCTGTCAATAACAGGCAGGTTGTTGTTGGCTGTTGTTGTTGGATCAATCCAGGCCCCGAGCATTGCTTCACTTCTAATTGCCATGTGCACTGACAACACAGCACATGCTCTTTACTTTCATGTGTGCCAAAGTCTTCGTGGTGCTTCTCAGTGTTTTCTAGACCGTGGTCTGACTGCTTTACAGTTTTGCTGTCACTTTTTTTGTTAGGTTTAATTTAAAAAATTCGAGTCGAGTCGAGCTGCGTTTTGCTTTTATTTCGGTACGCACGGCTGGCCGCATAAAGAGAGATGGCGAAACATCAAGAGACGTGCAGCAGCACGCTTAAAAAATCAACCGCCGCCACCTGCTGTTAATTGATTAGCTGAAAACGAACCCATACATTATTCAATTTTGCATGATTTACAGTTCATATAGAGCTTTTTACATCAGGCGTTTCAACATCATGCGCCTCGCTGCATCACGTGACTCACTTCCCACAGGGAGGTTTGTTTTTGCCCAGTGTGAGATGCTGTCTGAGTGGGAGTGGAAGCTGCTTAAATGGACTGGGTGCTCTTTCCCCAGTAATAAACTGACAAGAATACCTCTTACTGCATTTGTGTCATTGAGAAGCACACAGTAAGGAGTTTAGATCCTTTACCAGTCGAGCCTACGTGCAGACCAACGCTGACGATATCTGTGACAGTCCAGAGAGCAGAGCGGCCCGAGGCCGTGCTCTGTTTTAGAGGCGTTTGCAGCTTTAAGTAGATCCACCTACACCCGTCACATTTACATTTTCTCACGGCTGTTCAGAGCCGCTCTCAACAGTGCTGTAAACTTTAGCAGAAGTAGAATAAGCGGGTCTTAAAGAGATGTGGCTCATGCAGGTGCTTTATATGTGAACCACGCGAATGATCTTTTTGTTCGTACAGATTGTTAGAATTTGTTTTTTTATTTCATTTAACCAGGATAGAAACTCATTAAAGATGTGGATCATATCATACACATTTGTAACATTTTTGAGGCAAATTTCTCTTCATACAGAAACAACCAAAATGTGCAAACTTCACTGTGCATAAAGAATTAGTAAAAGCTGATGGCGTGCAGGTGAAGCGGCTCTTTAGTGTTCGTTGATCCTGCAGCTGATTCCAGGCGAAGGAGCTGCAAATCTGAACGCTTTTTCCAAACTCAGTGCAGTCTGTCACTCAGCAGAATACAAATTCTCCCGAATCCAGTCCGGGCGAATTACTTCAGCACCTCGCTGTTTGTCCTCTCCTCAGTTGTTTTCAAATGGCAGCCACTGTCAACAGCTGCAGCAGGGGGCTCGTCTCCTGTCTCCTATACCCTGGTGCCCGAAAGCCCCCAGAAACACCAATCAATGAATGAACCACTTACTGTGGTATTCAGAGAACAAAGTAATGCTAGTATTCTGCTGGAATGGAAGGAGCACAAAGTCCAGGGCTTTAATGGGGCGAGGAGCGCGAGGGCTGATGGAGCCGTGTGTTAGATTCTTGTTTTTGTTATGTGGCTTTTTAAAAGCCCAGATGAGCTGCCTCATTCCTCTCCACTGACTTCATGACAGGTAACACAGAGACAATCGCTTCCCCGTACAGCCTTCCAGCTCACGTATCCTTGAGAATGTTCTGTACTCCAGCCTGCACTGCACAGTCAGTGCCGTGAATGTCCTGCAGAGCTCACCTGAGCTGTAAGGTGCGAGCTCACCCCTGTATTTCCCTGCACATGTTTTTACTGAATTAAGTTGATGTGCGAGGCGGGGTGGCTTTTACTTCCAAAGGAAACGGCTTTCATCGCTCGTATTTGCCGTGGAAGGTGGCAGATTGCAAATGAAACATCGCCAAACACGTACACCAGCGAGGAGGCGATTGAGCCCGTTTTATGCAAATATGAGTGGATGTTGCTGGGTGAGTGAGCAGAGAAAAGCCTCGCTGGGATGTTATCTGTGAAGTGTGTCATGTGAATGCATTTACTTTTAAGAATGGAGGCCAAGCCCGTGAGCCTTGTGGGGTAACATAAAGAAATGAGGCCGTCAGCCAGAAGACATCATCTTTGACCGCCTGCCCGGGTGATTCAGGTCGAGCGAACTACAGCTCTTTAATTTGTGTCTCTGCGCTATTGTTTAATAAGGCTAAAGGCCCTCTTTTGTGCATCCGCTTTTCACATGTGACACTGTTGAATGATCTGGTCGCTAAATTGACCGCACTTAGCGCTCTTCTTCTCTTCTAATTTCCTCTCTTCTGCCCCCACTTTGCTCCAATCCCTTGTCATCTGTCTCACCATTGTTATCAGTGTCTGCACTCATGAGCTGACCACCTCCTTTCACTCCCCTGCCTCGTGACTTTAAGTTGAGAAGTGTCTCTGCACACACAAAGCTGCTGTATGCCTCTCCACACAACCCTCTGCTCTTGCCATCTTCCCTTCCTCTTTCTTTCTGCCCTTCAGCTTTCAAAGCTCATTCTATAAAAACCCGTCCTGTGAAACTCATCCAGCATCCCACAGCTACTCACCCGCATCCAGTCACCGGAACCAAATCTACTTCAGCACAAACACACGCCAAACCATCAGAGCACGGAGGTGGCAGAGACCTGAGGTTGACGAGGGAGGGAGGGAAAAAGAAGAGGGCAATAAGATGTCAGGCGGGTGGGTAAAAGTGAGCTATCTTCACCCGGCCTCTTCTAAATAAGCCATCCATTCTTTAGTATTTTAAATCCCATCAGTCTAACCCCGTGGGGTGGGAGGGTGCATTAAAATGTAGGAGCGAAAAGACAGACATGATTTGTTGTGATGGGACGAGAGCTCGAGCGAGAACAGGAGGAGAAGTAGAGGAATGCGAGATAAATACAATGAGGTGCAGGTTTGATTCGAGCAAAGACAGATTGGAGAGAATAGATGCAGATAGAGGCGGAGACGGAAACACGGGGAGTAAGAACAAGAGAGATAGACGTATACGGCTGAGCTGGCAGCCTCCTCCGCCGATTAACATGCTCCTCAGACATGGTGAGGGGGATCAAACTTGCACAAAGCCAGGCCTTGGAGTTATGCCTGCAATGCAATGAAAATGCATGTGTGTGTGCGCGTGTGTTTATTTCTGTTTGTTTGTTTTGAGTTTGGAGCTGCTCCTCGACACACACAGAGCAGTGTGTCTTTGTTCACAGCTGCCTTGTGTGCACAGTCGTCAGCTGGAGACGACTGTTGATTGACATCAGTGTGTGTGTGTGTGAGGTGTGACATTCAAAGCAACAGGGAAGGCCAGAGCAGAAAGTGGAACCCAGAGTTACTGTAGTGCATGAACTCACACTGGAATTTCTGGCTGATCGGTGGAGGGAGAGGACAAAGGAGGTGAGGAGAGGTGGTCAGAAGGAGGAGGAAGGAGATGCGTGTGTGAGTCCAATCCTGGAGAACGAGTGTATGCTGATTTTGCGCACAGGGACATGCGTGTGTGCGAGTGTCAATGTGAAATCAAAAGCTGAGGACTTGCAGGTACACTTCTTTTTTATATCTTTACTGGTGCCAGGCCTGATCTGTCAGCCGTCTGCTGAGAGAAGATACTCTGCAGTGCGCCCCTGTCTCTTAGAAGCTGTTTATGATGGGGGCGTTCACAGCGGCGCCTTTGACGAGATGATTTCCTGCAACATTTGCAAAAGAAAAAAAAAATCTGGACACAGTTGAGGGAACATTATTCTTGGATGTTATAGCGTGTGGCCTGTATAGCTGCTCTGCTCGCTGAATTATTTCATCATTAACTCTAGCATTCATCCTTGAAGGCAAACAGTGCAGGCTTCCTGCACAGGGCAAGGACGTATGCTAGAGAGGTCTAAGATTCTTGCGATTTGTCTTTCTTCAGAGACCACCGTGTTTCTCGTCTTTGTCCTTTCTCACACGGTTTGTCATCCAATGCGTGTGATTAGTTGTCGTGTTACTCTGTACGACTGTGCAAACCAGAGTTTAAAGTTACGGGGGATCTTTTTCTCTCAGAGCTCGAGATGTCTGTCCTCGTGTATCTGTAAGACACCACTTTCAGCGTTTGTTGTTTCTGTGACTTCAGGAATTCACCGCTTGCAGCAGCATCGTTTATGAAAAGCACGCTTTCAAATAAGTGTTACTGTGCAAAAAAGTGAGGATTGTCCTCCATTTAAAGTGTCCTGCTTTGTTCCTGCCGTGTGACCCTACTCGCCCCCTGACAGTCGCTTGTTGCCATTACGATAAATCCAGCTCTCCTGATTCAAAAGCAGAAAGGCCGAGCAGTCTCCAGATGGGAGCATGCTGCCCCGTCGAGTTACTTCTGTGTGTTTGTGTAGGATAATACATGTCCTTTGTGGGTTTTTTCCAGAATAATCACATCAAGCCGGGTCCTGTCATGCTGCAGAACCTCTTATTGCCATTAGCGAGGTTTCTGTATTTTGTTCTAACCGTGTTGGAGATTATCGCCACTTATGTTTTTTCTTTACTGACTTTATGGAGCCACGAGTCCTGATGGATGCAGTTACTTTTAGACTCCCACCGGTCTGAGAGTGTGTTTTCTTTTCATTTTTACTGCAGTATAGCTGGGTTTCTCCTACATGGATGTTTGAGTTTGATTTATGGCCTTGGCCCCTGATCTCTGCCCTGCTAATGATGGCTGTAAACTGGTGGGAAGCCAAAAGGTCAGGGCTATCCCTGCTGTTGTGATGTGACACCACGTTTCTCCGTGTTTTATGCGTCGCTGTTTCGATGTCCACCATGGCGAGAGGTGCTCAGACGCAAAAAGGTGTGCTGAGCACGGAGAGGTAACACGCTGGATGGAAAATAGAAGAATAAAAGCGTTATCTCTGCGGATTTCGTTGGAGAGTCCTCCTGAAACGCAAACCTATAATTAACCCGCAGACGTCGGCAGCCAGCCAGCGCTGCAAATTCTTTGTTCTGCTCCTTCTAGATTGTGACTGTCTCCTGATGTCTTCACAGCTGTAATTTTGAGGACTGTGAAGGTTAATGACAGCGACACAACTCTGGGGAGAGCTCAGAAAAACTCAAAGATATCCATTCACCAACAATAAGCTATTACAAGTATTACATTTGTGCGCCGTCATGCGGTCTTTCATCGAGCTCCTTCTCACCCGTTAATAGGAGCACATCCACGCGTAAGAGGAAAGAGTCAAAGATTATCTTATTCCAGCTCCAACCTTTAAATCCTTTGAAATTATACATCTATTAGACACACAAAGGAGATACTGTACTAACCACGGGAGTAGTCAGGTAGCAGAGACAGAGGAGACATTCTCATGATTCGAGTCTGATAAAAGAGGAGTGTTAAAGAAACGTTTTGTCCTTCTGCTCATGCTGCACATATTTCTCACCACATAAATCTTTGCCGTTTTGTCAGCACATGGGAAAATCAGTGTTCTGTGGAAAAAGGTCACTCTTCATTTTTCATTGACTCTGTACACCGCCCCCCCCCTTTCTCTCTTCTTTAACCACTTTGACTCTCTTCCTCTCTTCCTTTAAAAGTGTGTGATTTTTGTCTTTCTTACGGCTCTGGGATTTCATGCTGATGCAAATTTCTAGTAAACAGACCGCGGGTCACTCAAGTCCCAAGAAGAAGTTGTGTGTGTTTCACTGCAGAGGAGGGAACTCCGACATAATGTTTATATTAGCCCTGGAAGAGAGAGAGGAGGCAAGACAGTGGCCGGGCTCGGAGGAGGCACAATGCCCAAAGGAGGTGTGTTTTGTTGTGTGAATGTCATCTAAAGTGTACGGCGTACGTGCTGTATGTCAGCATGGTAGAGAGGGAATCGCTGTCTTGAGCGAGCACAGCAGATTTAAGGTGCATTTCCCAAAAGCGCAAGAACATAATGTACGAGGTTTTATTCCGGCAGAGACTCGGAGAACAACCAGACGCGGTTTAAACACAACACAGTTTAAGAGAAAAACAACCACGGGGAAAACAAATGTTTCCAATCTGTTATTTACACTGTTGATGTTGGAGCCCGTTGAATATTCAGTAAAATAAAATTAAAAAAACAGATCGAAACACAACTGCTTTTGATTTAAGTCTTGTAAAAATGAGCTTGCACCCGATTGGCCGAATGCTACTGTGTTGAAAAAGTCCAATATTAATCATGTCTGTAATTAATCAGAAGCCCAATGAGGGAAATAAGAGCTCCGGGAGCAGGTGTGATGCTTTTACGTTTCTGTTTTCTTATCAGGAATCAGCCGCTGCAGGAATTTTGCAGCCATAATAGAGCAGGAGTTCATCATCCCACCATCCTTAAACATTTGGTGCTTAAAGGATAATTCTGACGTCCACTCTTTGATTTCATGCTGTTTTAGTTATCTGACCTTAGCTGTACTACCCTTAAAAAGTTTTTTCACGATCTTTCCTTTAGCATTAATCAGGTAAGCCCACATCTATCAAACACAACAGATAAATGCATACACTTAAATGAAACAGAGAAGAAGAAGTGAAGGCACTGCAGAGTCCTGGCAGAAAAGTGCAGAGGAAGAAAATGAAAACCAAAAACCATAATAACAGGCTACGTGAGCAGATAAGAAAGCAGAAGGACTGACATTTAAATAAAGGAAGGGCTGGAATTAAAATACACAGGAAACTTATTAGGGAACAACATGCAGGTGAAATTAATCAAAGAGGCCAGACACAAAGGCAGGAATAAGACGAAACACAAGAAAGTGAACAGGAAGTAACCATAAAAGAGGAACAAGCAAGCGAATAAAGAGACAAAGAGTCATAATCACATTTGGGAAATGTAATGAGTAAGAAACACGGGGGGCTGGGTCTTACAAAACCCTGCAACAGGAAGAAAAACATGGCCACAAAAGCCAACATTTTGAGGCTTTGCCATAAAACATAAGGTTGCAATCAACAATACCGCTCAGATTTATGACCTTTGTGTGTTTCTAGAGAAGTTTCCTGTCACGTTTTAAGCTTGGCCCTAATAACAAGCGTTTTGTCTTTGATTTGCAGGAAGTTGTTCGTCTAGTTAATTATGTCTTCAATACACTGAATCACTGACTTTAAAAGGTCGGGGTCTCAGGGGTACACAGATTAATATAACAGTCTGATAATCCATTAGCATGTTTATGGTACGTTAGCACATGTTTTTCCAGTATGTTACTTAGATGTGCACGTTAAGAGATAAAGAAAGATGTCATCGCTTGAGATGAGTTGAAAACCAGAAAAGTGCAGAGCCATAAGTTCTTCCCACTAGTCTGCTTTTGGCTCAGGGTGAAGATAAATCTGGCGACGCTCATCCTCTCTTTGTCTCTCTCATTCCGCACATTCTTTGGCTTCGCCGTCTGTATTTCCGGTGTGACTCCTCGTCTCCGTTTGAATGCCTCGCTTGTTTCTCTTTCACCTCTGGTTCCCTTCATCGCTCCCTGCGGTGCCTTATTTTTGTCTTCTTCTTTGTCCTGCCTTGTCCTCTCTGTTCTCCAGCCTCATTTTGTTTCATTGCAGTTCGTTTCCATCTTTGCCTTAAACCCTCCCTCCTGAGCCTCCGTTCTCACGTCTTATTTTTCATTCCCTTACTTCCACACAACCCCGCTGCTTATTGAATCCTGACTGAAGGAGATCCAAGCAGCATCGGGCTATCACCTGTCATTGATTGTGCACACTCCATAAAGCAGCCTCTCCTCTTTCACTAATATGACAATTAGGCTGGCCCCTGGGAAATCTATGAGATATATTTAAGTAGAACATTCACAAAATCCTCTGCTGCATGCTTTATATCCCTTTCCATGTAGCAGCAGCCTCATGTACAAAACTCTGAAGGTCAACCTGGTGTAGCTCGGCCTGAGGCGAAGGAGTACTTCTTGGAACATTAATCCCTCTTTCAAAGTCTCTTTCCATGTGTGTGTCTCCTCTAACACAAGTTACTTCACTGTTAAAGCCTTCAGGTTTTTGTTGTCTCCACTGAGTTACATCTGCAGACCTTTATTCACAATGAAAACAAGCTTCTGGCACTGGTAGCGCTAGTGTTAGCTTTAGCGCTAACACGAGGGCAGCAGCTTGCAAATAGAAAAAGTTCTTCACAAGCAGAGCAGAAGAAAGTGAGCGTTTATATGGAGTAGTGTTCCTGTCCACCTTCAAGTACATCCACTATTCACCCCTTGCTTTTGTTCTCCACTAACTCCTTACAGTAAGTAAAAATCTGGCTTTTCAGCTGCCTGCTGGTATTTGGTGCTAAGCGGCGAGTGTATAAAGTCTCCAGTTTGTTGATGGAAGCAATGAAACTGAAATACCATACAAGCGCGCAGCTAGGTTATACTTTGTGGGTCAGTTACTGAGCGTTTGCTGTGCATCACATGTCAAAGTAATCACATGAGCTATTGCTATTACAGGAAAA